AGGAACAAGTTGGCAATTCGCCTCAATACCTGTATAAGAATTAGCGAATTTCGTTCGAGAGAGTCTATTAACAACAAAAAAGTATAAACATGTCAACGTAATTATTATCCGAACTCAAATGCAATTAAAACTAGGGCAAAACATGAACAAAAAGAAGATTATCACGAAGACTCATGCAAAGAGAAGAATAAGACTAGGTGTTCCGGAAGAATAAGTGTCTTCTGGTTCACGGACGACACCTGCGATGTAAATCTGGGTCAATCTAAGACCACACAATCAAATACAGCTTACATGCATTCGATAACGGAATCAACTGACAAATGAGCAGGCGCCAATCACGTTCAACTAATGTATGAGAGTATCAACAGGTAGCTAGCATTCAGCTGCTGAAGCAGAGCAGTCTACTTTATTCAGATGTGAGACCTTCGTCTTCGTCCAATTATCTTATTTCCAAGGCGATTATACAACACTACAGAAAACTCATTAAGTATCCTAGTAGGGTGTAGGAAGTTGCTTTAATTTTCTAAATAACAATTTTCCTTCTACGACATTCAGGTGATGTTAGGCGCCAACAAAGACGAAATGCGGACAAAATGTTTCCGATTACCCAACCAATTAATCAGTTTCGTGATATTGATATTGTAATGAATATAGATTACGTGGGCATATTCTGATTCGAAGCAGTGAAGACTTTACGAATAGCACGTACCCTTTTACTGGAATGAAAGATGTTTTTATTTGATGTAAGACGTCCTTCCGGGGAAATTAAAGAATAAAGATAACATTTCAAAATATCCAATGTCTACAAAACAGAGGACTCACTAAAACATAGAATTTTGTATATTGTTAGATATAATAAATAATCAAATAAAATCGACACAACAACAATTTATACAAAATATGAAAGATGAAATTTTCAAATCAAAACATTTGTAGAATATGACAGCTTCAGTATGGCCGAAGCTTTCGATTCAGTAATAAGATTATTCCAGCGCTTGCATTTCCTTACCGTAACTAATGGGAGCGATCTGTATATAAGTAATTAGTGGATCACTATACCTCGTGGAAATTAACTTCTACCGTTACGGTTTAACATTACGGACGTGGTATTTATGTCAATGTCTTTCGTTGGAAGGGTTCTTGTCTTTTTCCTTCCTCCTTGTTATTCCAGTGTTCCCGCGGATGTTGAATGTTGCACTTAGTATATTTTGCTTTCCGTTATCAATACTAATAATGAAAAAAAAAAAAGTCATATTCTATCTAAATGCACAAATCAATACTGTTTTATATTCAGTCTATCACTGGTTTTCTTAATCCTCATTTAAGGATTTTATTTCAAGAAGTTTCTCTATTTTTGTAACATTAAATTGCCTTCCACTTGTCTGAATTTAAGCATGTTGTTCAACAAGAGAGTAAAACACCAACAAATTTCCGTAATGACGAGTTAAATTCAATTCCATACAGCTGTCAGGATCTTCCTCTGTTTCATGCTGACGGAATTCTAAACGAGCCAAATAACTGTTTCTTCGCTCCAATTTACCAATTACAATTTTGGAATATAATTCAGGAGAGTTTGCATATAGTTTTTTGCCACTTTTCCTGGTCCAATGGCCTTCTATCACATCAGACCTGAGGACTCTAAGGAATGGCGTCCTTCGAGAATGACGTCGTAATTACAGTCCTGACATTACATGAACTGCATTCTATTACATGGATATCAGTCATCATTTAAATCCTAACTTTGTTTTCGCTGGATACGCCACTCACCAGAATTCCATCCCCAGCAAACGGCAAAGAGTCCACACAAATTATCAACCCCATTTAATTAAAATAAATGACATGTAGTTATCCATCAGCACATATGGGGATTCTTTAAGAGTTTTTTTTTTCAGAATTTTCTTCAGATTGGAAATGTCGATAAAATAGTTCTTCTAACACAGCCAATACATTATTTACGTGTGATGTTTCGATGACTACACCGTCACCTCCATCGGATAAACGACCGGTGTGAATCCTACTAGCAATGACGTAGTGTATGAGACCTTTTTTTCGACTGTACCATAATCTTATGTATGCTAAAGTGGAAAACGGTGTGACGAAATGGTAGAAAATTTATAGCAAAATGGAAATTGGATGATAACAATGTACTGTAGTCGATTTGGCTACGCCTTGTTTGACATTAATTTGCGAGAGTCCGTGACCCCATTCTGGTCACCAATGTGTCAAATGATCTATTTTAATAAATAATATTTTACTTGCCCCCAATTCATATCCTGATGTAAATCATCAGTTAGAAGCTCGTTTCATTTGCATCACGCGATTTAAGAAATTGTCAGAAATAGAATTTTTATTGAAACGTATTACGTGTGGTCTTAATTTTAGATATCTCTGGATGTAAGTGTCTAGGAACAAATATTTTTTGGGGTGCTATCAATGTTATGACAGATCTCCTGACATCAACATGATACGAAATTTAGCTTACTCATGTGCATTATATGACAGAAAATGGATTGACCAAGCACCATACAAACATGTATCATAACACTTCATTAAGACAAATATAAAATTCTTCCGGAATAGAGAATAGGAGTTTTTGAATAAGATAAGATCATCAAGCTAAGGAAGGTGTTGGTGAACTGTGTTTATGTGTAGTGGGGAAACAAAACACTGACCTCATGACCGAGGTTCATTAGACTCCAGGAAAGAAAGCAATATATGATCGTCTGATTTAACATGTGCTAAAGGTTATTGTAAATATTCTATGAGCAGCGAGCTGATTGTTTCAGTTGATTTTTGTTATAGCTATTTCATAAAGTCTTTCATCCAAATAGGTAATGCGTTAATTAAAAGTTGATACATATGCACGGTCATTCGCTGTAATAATAAAGTGACTGACCGTTTACAAAGATTTTTTCCACCTAGGTTTTTTTTTGTCCTTGTACCAATATACACGAATTCGATGTTCATTTCACCATCGGATGATAATACAAAAGGACTATATCAGTGAAAAATGTTCGCCTCTAACTTAAATTCGCCTTGCCTATTCATAGCCAAGAAGGCGAAAAAATCCCAGTGAACAGTACCACAATTTTGAGATTGTCTTCACATAATTGTGAAGGCAGTGCCCCTCCTATCGGCTTCAACAGGGTATATTCATATGTCTATAACCATGTGGTCGTAGCCACTATAGACTAAAACAGAACTCCAGACGAATCCCAATTATACCTGAGGTAAATATACATTCATTGTCAACATTTCTTTCTGATTTGCGTTCAACCAAAGCTAATTTGTCCCGGCCCCGGGGACTATTTGTCATAGACTCCAGACAACAGGGCACAGATCGATAGACCAGACAGTGTGTTTTATAGACAAAAACTGATACGTCCTGTTGTTATAGCTATGGCAATGCTTATAGTCTGCATTTCCAAAATCGCAAAATTACAGTGTATCGTTGAAAGACAACTAAAACCAAGAATGCTACGACGATCATATTACCCCGAAAGATACATTTGGATTCATATACTTGTATATTGGCGACACTGTCCTAAATATACACATATGCTATTAGCACTGATAAAAATTAAGATATGTGTTGAATTGTTTAGTTAACGGACCGCGATCTGATTTTGCAAAAGTCAAATCTGAAGCCCATATTTCAACCTTTGTTTGATATTCCTTCGTCACTTTTTTAATTCAAACACTTTGGAGCCATAGCTTCACTGAAAAGTCCTTGGTGGACGATAGAACTGTCTGGTGTAAATATAACTAGATATATATTGAAAGATGTCATCAGTATGTGTACTTAGCGAAATGCAATATTTTCCATGTTTATCAAAAATTAATTTTTATCCTGAAGCTGTCATTGTTGGAATACACCTGCCACATATATTTGTATTCGGCAGTGACGAGAAACAGCTGTATTTTAGCACGTGCAGTAATTCGAAAGAATTACTCTCTGAATTTACTTAAATATTTCATTTTAAATTACAAATAGTTGATCTATGAAAATTCATGAAATCGGTATTATACCAGATTAAGTTTGAAGTACATCTTATATTGTAAAACACTCACCATGTATTCTCTATTTCCTGTCGATCACACCTTAGTTAACCAAGATACGTGCTTTTCAGTGATATTTAGTCTCTTATCCATGGATTTGAACTTATATTAAGACTATTTGATGAGAGTGGTGATTGGCTATTTTTAATTATTTCTAGAAGCAGAAAGTGGAGTGTTTGATTGCGTTTCATCTTGCCAATAATCTTTCCGATTCCTTAAATTTCTGAAATAAAAATTTTGTGGATGATTTCTTCAAATACCAGACAACGGTTAATCTAAGGGAAAAAAAGTCATAAATATGATAATAATACTGACACAATTACAATATTACATTACTCTGTTTTATTACAACTCAAGAGGTTTACGGAACGTGAAAATAAATCGATTTCATGAAGTTCAGAATTATCACCGTTGTGAGGATATATGTGTATGTAAACGTTTGAAAAGTTTTGGGGATAATGCAGCTCCCCATTTAGCTTTCGACGTGTCTGTGGATCACTTGAAATGAACGACCTTCAGTAGTCTCCCTTATTCAAAAGTTTAGGTACCTGAACATCTGATTGATGAAGTTTACTTCATTGTGTGGTATTACTTTGTTGCAGCAAAAGTGTGCTTTCAGTTGTGTGTCGTCATACAACCTTTAAAATCATATAAGCCCGCAGTCGTACATTTCATAAATCAAAGAAAATGCAAGATCATTTATGTTGTTATACATATATATCAATATCAATATATTATTATTATATATGTGTGTGTATAATATATGTGTGTTTTATATATATTGTTAAGGTTCCGCCGGTAACATATGTTAGTAGTCTTTTTCACCATGTATTGTCTTACAGATAGTCATTACACAGTCATATCAGTGAGGAGAGTTATGCTGGATCGTCATTGTTACCGGGATAATTCAATTTACTTACAATTTTGGCTCTTTATTTCAGGTGATAAAATCATGGGCGTCAGGACGATGGAGGTCTCGGACCTTGCCCCAGCGTCCAGATTCCTTCTTAGAGAGGGTGGCCATGGGGGGACAGGATGTCAAGGACGCCCAAGGAGACAGGAAGGCCCGAAAAATCTCCGACATTAGGTAAGTAGGGAATGAGAAATGTGTAGTCATTAAAGGATGATTGGATTCCAAATTACAGGTAGATGTTAGAACACAGAAGTGTTCTTATAAGCTTCCACATGATGTACGCTGGCGAGTAAACATTACCAATAAAACTGATCAACGACATTCTGTAGTATCGCAAGATTTGTAGAGATATGTCAATACAATGTACCCAAGTGAAGAAACAGAAGAGCTAATCGAATTCTCTATCTCTCTGAAAAACATACAAAGTCACTAAAGAAGTTGGATGGGGATTTGGAAAGCATGTCACTGATTTGTACTCAGCGACTCTCCCAAAATAAGAATGACGCAAGGGTGCTGTGATTTTGTGCATTATTTGACTTTGGAGGAGAGGTTGTGGGTGTCCTTACAACAGACATTGTCATATGAGAGCGGAGGTCAAGAGGGAACAGCAATAGAAAAAAAACACTGTTGCAATGGAATCAGCCGATAATTCGGTCTCTTTGTATTGTTGGTATCAGACACCTAACATGACAACTGCAAAAACATATTTTCGATGGTTTTTTCTTTTTGTGTTTTTGTTAATGAAATCATTTCGTTGACACTTGATTTCGCCGATAAATATAGCTTAATAAGCTCACTTGTACAAATTTCAATTGTTCGTTAAGAAGAGTACCCACGAAAGGAACGAAAATACAACCCCCACAAAAATTAATGATTTCATAGTAGGTAGACATATTTTGTTTAATTCGATATCTCCAGTGTAATGCTAGCTAATATGATAATACGTGAAGGTTAAATGGAACAGCGCAAACAAACACAGATAACCGATGAAGAATTTCCCCATTTTTCTTCCATAGTTCCGTTTGCTATGTGTGTCGTCTTTGAATAGATAGCATGTTACTATGACACATCAAAGTTCTGTAGTTTTGTTGCCTATAAATACGACAATTGTAAGAGAGCTGCAGTGAGAATATATTGTAGTTTTATTTGTATTGCATGTCGTATTTGTCTACTTCACTGACAGTCCTATCGGAAATTCAATAAATAGAATTACATTTGTAGGTCAAACTCGGAAAACTGATCAGCGGTGCTGATGAAGTAGCTCTCGACCTTCACAGTATAGCGACACCCAACAAGACGTAGGTCAATTCCATTACGGAGTTGTGTAAACACTTGTGTAACTTGGCTCCAATAATGTCAGACGTCACATGGGAATACTCAGTACCGTGTTTAACATTTTGTATCATGAACATCTCAGGAACAAGTTTGCACCAAATGTCACGTGTATCGGAAGGGACGAATTGGCACCATATTTCAGATATATCTAATTGGGGACGTATTGGTACAATATACCACACACATTACATGCAGACAAGTCGGAATCGTGCGTCAAATCCATTAAGGGGGACCGTATAAAAACCATTTCATTTTGTTTCACTTTTAACACAGAGGGTCGTGTTGGCACCATATTTCACATCTATTTAATTTGTGACGTATTGGTATAATATACTACATATTACATGTTTGATTTTGTTTTTATCACAGAGAGTCGTGTTGGCAACATTTTTGGCATCACATATCTATAATATTGCCATTATGTGTCACTTTTTTTTTGCGAAATATCGATATATTAAAAGTTCGTATACTCGTCCTTTTTCTGATATATCTTTATCATATGTGTAATATTAAAAAATAGCGCATGACTACACCCACTGAATATATGATAAATGGTATGTCACACATTGCAGGAACTTTGAAAGGAGCTAGGCAACATCATTCAAAATTTCCGGCTAACATGTTTTGGATGATATATTTCCCTGTGTTGCTTCACAATTCTGAACTTAACGACTTATATATATATACTGTATCAAATCATTAACAATATAATGGTATGTAATTAATGGAGGTGAGCTTCTAATGAAAATTTTCCACATATTCTGTACATGTTAATATATTCACCATTGAATGACATGGCTACCATGTAACTTTATCAAAGCCAGATATCTGTCACCAGCGTATGAATCGCAAACAACGCAGGAACAATGTTAACAAATTGACGTTTTCTTTCTCAAGTCCAAGATGTAAACTGAAAATGATAAAATTGACATGGAATTGCCTTCTTCTGGCATACATGTGAATATGAATGTCAACTTGGTACCAGCAAATTCAACAAGAAGCACTCAATTCGCTTTAATCCTGATGTCATTCATATCTTATGAATGCAAATTGAAAAGAATTTCAATGTTTAGATAAATCAACCTCTGTCAAACTTCAAAGGCGTCTCCTCACGGAAAAGCTAACTGGTGTTTTTTTTTTCTCTAATCGCATTCATGTTCATGTTTAGATGTTTAATGTTATTGACACAGACGCTCTGGTATATCATTTCACTAAAATGACGTCAACATTTCCTTGCAAAATCCTTAATGTATACTTTAAGTCATGCGCCATTGTCTTTTAGAATAGAAATGGCATATAATGTTTCAAAGCTCATCGTGCCTTCCGTTGTCTCTTTTCCTGCATTTTATTTCACCAAATTACTTTTTCCTGTATTTCCTAAACAATCTATAAGGAGAAAGAGGAATTTAATATGGCACTAGTTGGATGTTGATATAAGGAGCAGACATGAGGATTCCGTGTCGATTGAGTTGTTTTATTGAATCAGGTCCAAGTCTTCCTGATTTATTAACGCCTGAGACAAATCCTTGTCTACTAAACCAAGATATCTAGGTCAAGGTCATGTCATTCTTTGTGCAAGCCTCAGCATCATATCAAACGATTCTTGGTAAATAACAAAGAAATGAAAACAACAAAGCGTGGGCTGGATAAGACATGGCCCTACACTTCCTTTTCTCCTTTTTATTATTTCAGAAACATTTATATACAAATTGACATGCTTTACCGATAACGTCAAAAATTGAAATTCAGTAATACCAAACTGTATACACTTTCATATAAAAGGGACACATTTTGGTTTTACTTAAAGTTCTCATTATTTCTATCATTTACAACGGAATTCAACACTTGATAAACAATGTCATTAAACAATGAGCATGTAAGGGACTTTGGAGATTGTCACTGAATTGAATAGTGCCAACAATATCGTAAATTCTAACCCAATATGTTTAAACACACCGGCAAAAAATCTTTAGAGTTTGAACAAAAACATACAAGTGATATAGCGACTATCGGTTAAGGAAACCAGATGGATAATAGAGCTGTTTAGTCTTTCTAGGACAGTTAATTAGTGCAATGACCTATACAGTGGAGATCTAGATGTCCAATAAGAAAATCAGCTGTACACTGTACACGATTGTATAGTCAATGTTTTAAAAGAATAAGAGAATATAGAAGCACATGGATGAACTCGAAACGAGGCTAAAATATCAACAAAGAAAAAATCTTATTTTTCTTTCTTTCGTACATCATGTGTATTTGTTTACACTGATGGATACAACAATAAACTGTAACATATAACATTTATGGTAGTATAAACTGCATTTCTTTCTGGTTGATTGATTTAGCAGTATTGTTATGCAAATGTAAATAAATATTATTGTTACATTTTTGTTTAAGGTACTGGAAGGGATTTGTGGTGGATCCGTCCCAGAGGTTCTACTATAGATGGCTCTTTGTCATCTCCATATCTGTTCTCTACAATGTCGTCTTTATCATCCCACGGTCGGTGTTTTGGGAGTTACAGAGAGGTTACATGCCTCTCTGGCTTGCCCTTGACTACCTCAGTGATACCTTATATCTAATAGACATGGGAATTTCCTTCAGAACAGGTAAGTCCAAAAAGTACATATTGTCGAACACAAACCTTCTGCAACAAGGCATGCCACGAGGCTTTACGACTGTTTAAAAACTTAATCGTTTTCCCACTTGTTAGTATTTCCTTTCTCTCTCAGTGAGGTTAAATATTTCATTTTTCTTTCCTGTAAGCCTGTTCATTTATCGCCTCAATCTTAGGTTAGATTGGGAATAAGGAACAACATCTTATACGCGGGAAAGACGGACGGACAGATATTGTTTTTTCTCTCTGGAACACCGAAAGTTGCAACTTACATCAATCCGGTATAAGAGACAAACCTTTATCTTTAGGACGAAGCTCTAACACTGCAGGATGTATGTAACAGATGTAAGAGACAAACCTTTATCTTTAGGACAAAGCTAACAGAGTAGGATGTATGTAACAGATGTAAGGGACCAACCTTTATCTTTAGGACGAAGCTAACAGAGTAGGATGTATGTAACAGATGTAAGGGACCAACCTTTATATTTAGGACGAAGCTCTAACACTGCAGGATGTATGTAACAGATGTAAGGGACCAACCTTTATATTTAGGACGAAGCTCTAACACTGCAGGATGTATGTAACAGATGTAAGGGACCAACCTTTATATTTAGGACGAAGCTCTAACACTGCAGGATGTATGTAACAGATGTAAGGGACCAACCTTTATATTTAGGACGAAGCTCTAACACTGCAGGATGTATGTAAAAGATGTAAGGGACCAACCTTTATATTTAGGACAAAGCAAACACTGCAGAATGTATGTAACAGATGTAAGGGACCAACCTTTATCTTTAGGACGAAGCTAACACTGCAGGATGTATGTAACAGATGTAAGGGACCAACCTTTATATTTAGGACAAAGCTAACACTGCAGGATGTATGTAACAGATGTAAGGGACCAACCTTTATATTTAGGACGAAGCTCTAACACTGCAGGATGTATGTAACAGATGTAAGGGACCAACCTTTATATTTAGGACGAAGCTCTAACACTGCAGGATGTATGTAACAGATGTAAGGGACCAACCTTTATATTTAGGACGAAGCTTACTGAGTAGGATGTAATAGATGTAAGGGACCAACCTTTATCTTTAGGACGAAGCTAACAGAGTAGGATGTATGTAACAGATGTAAGGGACCAACCTTTATCTTTAGGACGAAGCTAACAGAGTAGGATGTATGTAACAGATGTAAGAGACAAACCTTTATCTTTAGGACGAAGCTAACAGAGTAGGATGTATGTAACAGATGTAGGAGACAAACCTTTATCTATAGGACAAAGCTAACAGAGTAGGATGTATGTAACAGATGTAAGGGACCAACCTTTATCTTTAGGACGAAGCTAACAGAGTAGGATGTATGTAACAGATGTAAAGGCAAACTTTTATCTTTAGGACGAAGCTAACACTGCAGAATGTATGTAACAGATGTAAGAGACAAGTAATAATGTTTTTTTTCTCCATAAACCGTAATCTTACACTTTGACGTCGGCACATGGTATGAATACCATCCAATTCTTTCTGAATGTCAATGTTATTTCCTAAGAGACACAATGTCTGGCGCTGTTTATGGTATAGAATGTCTAAAATGTTGAGAATTACATTTGTATATATCAGTGTCGGCTATCAAGCAGAGGCGACAATAATTCCTTATATACAAAAGCTAATCATAGTAGATTGATAGTCAGCATACAGCCATGTACAAAATATACTCCATCCCGTGCAAAAAGGAAGTAAACTTAAGTAATTCATTTCTTTGTTTGTTTTGGGTTTTTTTTTCTCAAAGTGCCAATCAGAATTAAGCATACCCTTTTTTTCCAAACACTTTGGTGAAGATCCCAATATCAGTTTCCCTACTAGAAGTTATTTTTCCATTGTCTTTGCAGGTTACCTTGAGGAAGGTCTCCTAGTACGAGATGCGACAAAGCTACGGAAGCACTACACGTCTTCGACGATGTTTAAAACAGATGTTCTTAGCATATTGCCGACCGACCTCTTTTATCTTCTCATAGGTCTTGACAAACCGGAACTTCGGTTCAATCGAATAATCAGATTCAATCGGTTACTTGAGTTCTTTGACAGAACGGCTACACGGACTAGTTTTACAAACATGATCAGGATCATGAATTTGGTGCTTTACATTCTGATCATTATTCACTGGAATGCCTGTATATATTTTGCCATCAGCAACTCGATAGGATTCGGTTCAGATTTATGGGTATATCCAAATGTTTCCGATCCAAAGTTTCAACCTTTGACCCGGAAGTATATTTACAGTTTTTACTGGTCAACATTAACACTAACAACGATTGGAGAAACCCCAGTCCCTGAAAAGGACGAGGAATATTTATTTGTGGTCGTCGATTTCCTAATTGGTGTTCTCATTTTTGCTACCATTGTCGGTAATGTCGGAAGCATGATTACAAACATGAACGCAGCACGTGCGGAATTCCAAGGAAAAATGGATGGAGTCAAACAATACATGGAGTTCCGAAAAGTATCGAAAGAGCTCGAGCAAAGAGTAATCAAATGGTTCGATTATTTGTGGACAAATAAGAAATCATTAAATGAAGAGGAGGTACTAGCATCTCTCCCGGATAAGTTAAAGGCAGAGATAGCCATTCATGTGCATTTAGATACGTTAAAGCGCGTAGCTTTGTTTCAGGATTGTGAACCTGGTCTACTTGTGGAGCTAGTACTAAAGCTCAAACTACAAGTGTTTAGTCCAAGTGATTATATTTGCAGGAAAGGAGACATTGGCAAGGAAATGTATATAGTCAAACGCGGACAATTGGGTGTTGTTTCCGACGACGGAAAGACTATATTTGCTACATTGAGAGAAGGTAGCGTTTTTGGTGAAATAAGCATATTGAATATAGCAGGCAATAAAAACGGTAATCGTCGGACAGCAAACATCAAGAGTACAGGATACAGTGATCTGTTCTGTCTATCTAAAGATGACTTATGGGAGGTTCTTACTCAGTATCCAGATGCAAAGAAGATTTTAATCGATAAGGGTAAGAAAATCCTTAGGAAAGACAATCTCTTAGACGAGGAACTCATGAAAAAAGTCGAAGCACAGCAAGAAACGACGGAACAAAAGCTTGACAGGATAGACTCAAGTCTGGATACTTTACAAACAAGGTTTGCCAGACTTCTTGCCGATTTTAATTCCACTCAGCAAAAATTGAAGCAACGAATCACAAGACTTGAAAAAGGCATGGTGAAAGAATCCGATGCGATCTCCAATATTTCATTTCTGGATTCATGATGGATGATGTTTACATCTCATTCATTATAAAGTTATCAATGACTGTGATCAGAATAAAACGTCTACCAACATCGACTAAAACCAATTTCTACAACAAAAAACGTGGTCAAACTAATTTAAAAGGCTGCTCAAAGGCAAACAGCAAAGTCTAATGCATTTTAAAACATCATTCACCTTTGGCCTGGAACATTAATCATGTCTCATGTTTTACCCATAAGCGACTATGCCTTTGTCTGTAATGACCGATTAATCGAGTCATTAATTATAAACCCGGAATAATGGATGCAAGATTCAATAACGAATTGTCAGTAAACCGGAAGTGGCGTTCGCCGGAAGTGACATGTCTGAATTTATGGTGTTAATTATGCCGAGAATGTCTTGTTATTAATATAGAACCGTCCAATGAGATTACTTTTAAATGTCATAATACATATTTCTCATTCAATGGCTACTGTAAATAATGACATGCGTGAATTTTTTAAGTCATTGAAGATTTAAACCTGATACTTGAAAATTGTAATACTGATAGTTCAGTCAAACTAATTTTTTTCCTTCTGAAATCTTTCTCGTCGGCTTTCAAACATATCGTTCCACTGATGGAGTGAAACAAAGTATAAAAATATTCTGGGAGATCAGAATATTCTAAAATATACCTTTACAAAATTTCACACCTAATAAACAAGGAATCAAGAATTTGAAAAATGCTAATCACAATTTATTCCACAAGTGATTAGGATTGCCGTTGTTTAAAGTATCAGACATAGCGAACATTTCTTAGATTTTTTTTTCTTTTTTTGTTTTAAACATGTATTTATTTCTTCATTTTTTAAAAAACAATTATCACCATTTGCCTCACTAAACCCACTTTTTTAGAGTAGCGTTTCTGAATAGAGCGTTTTTGCTTAACCCCTTTATTCAATAGTCATGTGTAATATTTTTTTACAAAACCATATATGTTTCCGTTAATTATTTCGTCATAAGATTGTCTTTTTTATTTGAATACGCTGCAAACCAACTTGTAAATAGAGAGTACATGTATTAGCAGATGTCGAATCTAGTAATACCCATTGAACACTACTAGAATAAATAGAAAATATTTAAAAATAGATATCATATGATGGTAGCATATGACAATAGCATTAAGGATAAACGTGTTTACCGACACCAATAGACGCACAGAATTTTGATACAAACTTCGGAGCGGAAAGACGAATAAATATATCATTAATATCTTATGTAGCATATACGGATAAGAACTTTAGAATACAACCAATGTTTATGCATTTGCAACTATGGAAATTCACTGGCATTTTTTAAAAAAATATTGTAATCAACAAATAAATCGTTTACTGATGTAGAACAGATCTTTGTTTACTGATGTAGTACAGATCTTTTTTACTGATGTAGAACAGATCTTTTTACTGTTGTAGTACGGATCTTTGTTTACTGATGTAGAACAGATCTTTGTTTACTGATGTAGAACAGATCTTTGTTTACTGATGTAGTACGGATCTTTGTTCACTGATGTAGTACGGATCTTTGTTCACTGATGTAGAACGGATCTTTGATTACTGATGTAATACAGATCTTTGTTTACTGATGTAATACGAATCTTTGTTTACTGATGTAGTACAGATCTTTGTTTACTGATGTAGTACAGATCTTTGTTTACTGATGTAATACGGATCTTTGTTTACTGATGTAGTACAGATCTTTGTTTACTGATGTAGTACAGATCTTTGTTTACTGATGTAGTACAGATCTTTGTTTACTGATGTAATACAGATCTTTGTTTAATGGTGTAGAACAGATCTTTGTTTACTGATGTAGAACAGATCTTTGTTTACTGATGTAGAACAGATCTTTGTTTACTGATGTAATACAGATCTTTGTTTACTGATGTAGTACAGATCTTTGTTTACTGATGTAATACAGATCTTTGTTTACTGATGTAGTACAGATCTTTGTTTACTGATGTAGTACAGATCTTTGTTTACTGATGTAGAACAGATCTTTGTTTACTGATGTAGAACAGATCTTTGTTTACTGATGTAATAAGGATCTTTGTTTACTGATGTAGAACAGATCTTTGTTTACTGATGTAGTACAGATCTTTGTTTACTGATGTAGTACAGATCTTTTTTACTGATGTAGTACAGATCTTTGTTTACTGATGTAGTACAGATCTTTGTTTACTGATGTAATACAGATCTTTGTTTACTGATGTAGAACAGATCTTTGTTTACTGATGTAGTACAGATCTTTGTTTACTGATGTAGTACAGATCTTTGTTTACTGATGTAGTACAGATCTTTGTTTACTGATGTAGTACAGATCTTTGTTTACTGATGTAATACGGATCTTTGTTTACTGATGTAATACGGATCATTGTTTACTGATGTAGTACAGATCTTTGTTTACTGATGTAGTACGGATCTTTGTTTACTGATGTAGTACGGATCTTTGTTTACTGATGTAGTACAGATGGTTGTTTACTGATGTAGTACAGATCTTTGTTTACTGATGTAATACGGATCTTTGTTTACTGATGTACAGATCTTTGTTTACTGATGTACAGATCTGTTTACTGATGTAATATAGATCTTTGTTTACTGATGTAATACGGATCTTTATCTGCTGATGTAGTACAGATGGTTGTTCACTGATGTAGTACAGATCTTTGTTTACTGATGTAATAAGGATCTTTGTTTACTGATGTAATTCGGATCTTTGTTTACTGATGTAGTACAGATCTTTGTTTACTGATGTAGTACAGATGGTTGTTTGCTGATGTAATACGGATCTTTGTTTACTGATGTAGTACGGATCTTTGTTTACTGATGTAGTACGGATCTTTGTTTACTGATGTAATACGGATCATTGTTTACTGACATATGTATGTACAGATCTTTGTTTAATGGTTGTTTACTGATGTAATAAGGATCTTTGTTTACTGATGTAGTACATATCTTTGTTTACTGATGTAATAAGGATCTTTGTTTACTGATGTACATATCGTTATTTACTGATGTAGAACGGATCTTTGATTACTGATGTAGTACAGATGGTTGTTTACTGATGTAGAACAGATCTTTGTTTACTGATGTAATAAGGATCTTTGTTTACTGATGTACATATCGTTATTTACTGATGTAGAACGGATCTTTGATTACTGATGTAGTACAGATGGTTGTTTACTGATGTAGAACAGATCTTTGTTAACTGATGTAGTACGGATCTTTGTTCACTGATGTAGTACGGATCTTTGTTCACTGATGTAATACGGATCTTTGTTGAGAGATCGTGTCCAGTACTCCTACACGACAACAGAACGTTATTATTTGATATAATTTATTTTTGTGTTCAATGATTTTGTGATATCGACCAAACCTTTATTATGCATGTTCAATCAAAATCATTTTAAAAGTTTGAAAATTAAATATTATTATTGAGCCTATTTGCCCTGTATAAATACACCAATAGTGATATCATGAACAGATTTTATTTCTTATGAAAACTGATCACATGCAATTTATACTTACTTAACTTTGGTGTTTTTGTTTATCCGTTTTTTTTAATTAGCACATGAAACCACTGTATATAATAAAAGGTTTCATCACTGTTTACATGGTAACCAGATATTGTATCCGTGGTAACCAGAGTACTGTCCACATGGTTACCAAGGTGGATGCCATCCAGAGATCTTTTTCGTACAAATGATCGCGAGGGATTTGAATTCGCGACTGATTCTCCCTGCGTGTGAACGCAACAATAAACCAAACACGAAATATAACTGATTTATAGTATGTAAGCCAGGATACACGTTTCATGGCTGCCAGACAAAGTACAAAATACACAAATGGCAGTGTATACATGGCAACCAAGTAATGTTCACATTGCAACCAGATCCTGTATACAATACAGAAACGGCAGTGTATGCAAGGCAAGCAAATGAAATATACTTTTTTACTGCAACTGGCGCTGCCATTGTCAGAATACACCTGCCACATATGTTTTTGCTGTATTCGGCAAGTGGCGGAAAACAGCTGTATTTTAGCACGTGCGGTAATTCGACAGAATTTCTCTCTGAATTTACTTAAATATTGCGTTTAGAAATATGAATAGTTGTTGAAAAAAAGCGATTTTTTATGTTGTAATGAACATGTTAATTTATGAAAATTCATAAAATTGCTCTTATATTCGATTAAATGTAGAACTTTATTTTCCTTTGGAGCAATCACTTTGGCGTCCGTCTTTAGGGAAATTTCAGCTAAACACAGATTAAACAACAAAAATTGTTTCCGTTCTTCTGGCACAGAAAGACAGTCTTTCTTCACCCTCGCCAAAATACAACCTATTTTTCAAGACAATGACCATGTATTCTCTATTTGCATGGCAGGGAGGAAAGCGAATATATGGCAACCAAAACATGTTTACATGGCAACCAGATACTGTATATATGGTATATGTATCTAGGACACCGTTTATTTAACAACCAAGATACTTCTACATAGGTACCAGGTTATGTTACATGTTACCACCATAGCATAGTATTTATTCATATTTGGGATGTTTAAGACGTGAAAATATGCTGGATAAATCTTCACAGAGGTTTGTAAGGACACAATGGCTGTTGATAGTTCATTGGGAGTATTATAGTCACTTGTAAAAGCTGAGATTACACTAAGAAGACCTCGATAACATCGCGAAGCTAAGTAGAGACTACACGCACGGAACGCTGTCGATGGTGGCCAGCCTTCCCGTTTTATCTCATTCTAAAGAAGTGTGTAAATTTAGTCGATAATTTGCGGCGTCAGAGATAGATAATCAAAATAGAACGAAACAAGAATATCGTGATCTACGAAAACAAAAAAGTGGAATTCGTTTTCAATGTTTTATAACTAATCTTAACTATAGCAATATCAGTTTTACACCGTATCTATCGTGAACAACAGATTTTGATAAGTTGCCTTTCAGTTAATTTAGGGTGAAAAAGAGTA